TCGTCCGCTTCAGGAGGGGGTTGGTGCGCAGCTTGTGGCGCAGGAGGTGGCTGAACAGCTAGAGGCGCAGGAGGTGCAACTGGTGCAGGGAGCGCAGGAGCTTGGACAGGCACTGGAGCAACTGGAGGAGGTGCTGCTGCAGGAAGTGGCACAATAGGGGCCTGAGGAATGGCAGCAGGCACAAAGTCGTCGTCCCCCCCTTGATCCAGTGCAGGTACAAAGACAGGGACAGGCTCAGAGGTCGGAGGGTCGACAATGGGAGTGGAAAGCGAGGCAGGAGTGCGCCTCAGGCCAGGGAAGAGCCGCTCATCAAACTCGGCACGTTCTGAGATCACCACCTTCCTGGTGTCAGGGCAGTAGAACTTCCAGCCCTTGTAGCCATCAGGGTAGCCAATAAACACGCATTTCTGCATGTGAGGCGACAGACCCTTGCGCTGGTCCTTCTGGATGTGCACATAAGCAGTGCAGCCCCAGACGCGCAAATGCGCCACACTGGGCTTGCCCTTGTGCCAGAGCTCATAGGGGGTGGTGCCAGGGCGCACTGCAGTAGGAAGACGATTCCAGACATGGACCATAGCAGCCACAGCTTCGCCCCAGAAGGATGGAGGCAAGGAGGACTCTGCAAGCATGGCAGTGGCCGTGTCAGACATGACACCATTGGCTCGCTCTGCAACCCCATTCTGCTGTGGCCTGTTGCGCACAGTGTGGCGACGCACAATGCCACAGGAGTCTGTGAATGCGATGAACTCACTGGACATGTACTCCCCTCCCTTGTCATCCTGGAGTGACTTGATCTTCACACCCAGCTGGTTCTCAGCATAGGCCTTGAAGCGCTTGAATGCAGCAAAGGCTTCGCTTTTGGCCTTGAGCAGGATGACAACTCTGAATCTGGAGTAGTCGTCAATGAAGGTGATCCAGTAGCGATAACCAGAGTGAGTGCGGACAGGCAGAGGGCCATGGACGTCGCTGTGGATGAGTTCCAGAGGCATGGTGGACACATGAGACGAAGGAGGAAAGGGGTTTGCTCGCATTTTGCCTGCTAGGCATGGCTCACAGACAGGATCAGGCTGCTGCTTCGAGCTGAGGGTTAGGCCAGTGACCAGTTCGTCTCTGGCAAGCTTCTGGACGTCTGCATAGTTATTATGAGCAAGACGACGATGCCAGAGGTTGAGGAGGTCGAGTGGCAGGGTGGCTGCAATGCATGCTGAGGCCTCAACAAGGGGCTCAACTTCGCCATCTAGGTAGGCAGCATTGTTAGGGTCAATAGGTGCGACAAAGCGCAGTGTGCCAGACTGATAGAAGGCCATGGCATCGGACGAAATGGTGATGGAAAACCCTTTATTGCGCGCAAGATGAAGACAGGACAGGAGATTGCTTCGCAGATCAGGCACATGCAGCACCCTTGAGAACTCCACAGACCGCACAAATGCTCCCTTCACCCTGGGCCTGAAGACGACCGACCCCACACCAGCAGAATAGACAACCTTGTTGTCTGCCAACTTCACAGGCAAGCGCAGTGGCTTGTAATTGCGAAGCCAGTGGCAGTGAGGCGTCATATGAGAAGTGGCGCCTGTGTCTGCATTCCAGGTGAAGTCAGCATCAAGCTGAAGCGGTGTAGAGGGCGAAGAGGGCTCAAGGGAGTGTGAGGAGAGGGCACTTGCATTTGCAGCGGATTCCTGGGCAGGTTCTGCAGGCTTCTCCTGCGCAGTGGCAGCCTTGCCTTTGCCTCTGGTGGTGCGGCGCTCCTTGGCCTGCTTCTGGGCCTTCTGGAATGAGTAGCACTGTGGCTGGGAGTGACCAGATGCGCCACAAAAGTCGCAGGGGCCAGAGGACAATGAGGCGACTGCCAGGGCAGACTGGGAGGCAATGGTGGAGTCATGGCGGCGCTGGGCATCCTCGGTGACAAAGGCCTGAATGACTGTGGCCTTCTTGAGGTCGCCATTGAGCAGCTGGGTGCGCAGAAGGGCGAAATCCTCGCGAGGGAGGGCCAGGATCATGGCCATGACAGTGAGTTCACTGTCAAGCTCGTCCAAGGTGTACTTGTCAGGGCGCAGATTCTTGCATTGCTGCATGGCGTCTTCAACACGGTTAATAACTGCTTGAAGCGACTCAGAATCGCTCTTCCTGATAGACAGCAGGGCCTCCCAGGCATTCCCACATCCAGCAGCATGAGGACGCTGGTGGACACCCTTGAGGGCTGCCCACATTGCAACAGGGTTGCTGTCAATGTTGGAGAAATGCACCTTTTGGTCCGCCTCAACCATCAAATACAACCACCCAGCAGCCTTTGCCTCCTCCACCTCCCACTTTTCCAGTAGTGTGGCCTCCGCTTCAGTGAGGGCTTTGGGGTCCTTGGCTTGTGGCTTGAGGTGGGCACCAGAGACAAGGCACCATAGGCCTGCAGAGCGCAGACAGGCAGCCATGTCCCCAGCCCAGGACTTGTAGTTCGAGGCATTGAGCTTGGGGAAGGAGGGAGAGGACGAGTGGTTCGACATTGTAGGCGCAGATGGAGTGAAAGCGCAGATTGTGGCAAGAGGGAGAGATATGAGAGTGTAGGGACAACAAGTGGTCCGAAAATTGAAGTGATTGACTCTGTGGCGCGCTAGTAGTGTGTGTAGTGGACTGCTAGAGCGCGGGGCTCATAACCTATCAATAGGCGACGCAGGGAGCAGTTGCACAAGACTAGCACTGAAGGACTGAATGCCACAAGTGGGGCTGAAGTCGAAGTGGGTCACAGAAGTGTGTATTAAAGGGTCGCTACAGGGCTCTTTATATACATGAGCAAGGGAAAGCATTCCCACGGCAGAACAATAGGAGAAAGAACAATAGAGTCCAAAAGTAGAACAAGGGCCACTTGGCCACAGGAACAATGGAACAAGAGAAGTGTGGCCGGAGCTGTGCTCTTGTCCGATTGCTCCGCAATTGACACAACCATGTGGTCACATGGTGTGGTGGCTCCCGCCACCGGGGGATCGTCCTAGGCCAACCAGGGGACTGTGGCAGAGCACATTGTGACACTGTGGCCGGAGCTATGCTCCGGTCCAGATGCTCCGCAATGGATGCCACAACATGAACACATCGTCATGTGGCTCCCGCCACCGGGGGATCGTCCTAGGCCGACCAGGGGACTGTGGCAGAGTACATTGTGATAGTGCAAGCAGTGACAGGTCCATTCACTAAAAAGTATCATTGACTTGTGCACAGCTACATGGAGGAAGGTAAGTGTATGCTCCTCCCACATCTGACATTTGAATTTACACTGACACATTGTTGCACAGAGGTACAGGACTTGTCTCCGCCCTCCTAGTGTGATAGTATGGTCATCATGACTGTAATGCTGTTCACCAAGAATGTGTGTGACTCCCTGCCTTTACACATTTCACTACATTCATCTGTCAAATGTCTTGTAGGTATTTGGCTACCTCTTCAGCAATGACAGAGCAGTTATGGACCTCATGAGCAAGGTCATGCCCTCATGTACTATCCAGTCTGTCTGGGCCCATGGGTGCTTGTTCTCGGCATTGAGAACAATATACAACAGTCTAACTGTACAATATATTCATGCAATAGCTGCTTTCTCCATCATTGGACCTGACATGGCTGGTCTGAACAATGACCTTTATCTGTATCATATAATCACCCACATGGGGTTCAGCTCATCATCGAGCACCAGAAAATCATCACAGGAGCCGAGTGAGAGCATAAAGCGCTCACTGAAATATATACATCCTGATAGTCTCTGTAGCTATTGGTCAAGGTGAAGACTATAAATGTATGTCCTGGAATTTCAAGATTAACTTGGGACACCTGAGGTATCAGAGTATATCACGTACCCTTAGGATGGGCAAAACATGTATGATCTCATTCATTGCACTGGTGACACTTGCTTGAATATGGCTTGTCTTGGCAAATGGGCAGACAATCTCATCCACTGAGATGATGACTGGCGGGGATAGGTG